GTCTCTCAAGTCGCCTTTTCGGGCCGACCGAGTGTCCTGCAGCCTTTCGAACGCAGAGGTCCGAGGTTTCTTCGACTTGGGATCTCCCAAACGGTCAAAAGCAGACATCCGCTCGAAGGAGGACGACTCGTCCTCTTCTTCCAGCCTGGAAAGCGCATCTGCCATCATAGCCTTCCCATTAGGCTTGGTCGCCTTCTTCTTTTGGGACCGCCTCACTTTTTTCTTTTTTCCTTGGGAGCCCGCAGGTCCAGCCTTCTCGCCTGTGGGTCCCCGAGCCACATTTCCTACCACAACCTCGCGGTTGGGCGCAAGTGCGGCCAGCACCTCCTTGAATTGTTCGGCCGTGATCCCAACCCTCTGAATGAGGGCCTCAGCCTCCCCGGTGGTGATGGGGGGGTGCCGGCCTCCGGTGGCGCTGTTCTCCCCTTGTTGGGGAACTCCGGTACCTACGTTGGCGTTGCTACGTGTTTGCACCATCGTTGTTGTGGAGGATTTCTTCTGAGTATGATTCTCGAACTCTCAATGAAAGCACCAATTTGATGGACAATAAATCCACCAAATGTTCCGGTTTACAGAGTGGATCGTAAGAACAAAATTAAGAACAAGAATTCGAGAATTGGATGTGTAGTACTAGCTTGATTTAGCTTGCCTTCTCCCCTTTCGGGTCTCCTCTATTTATACATGAGCTCTAAACAATTAAGGTGAAGCATAACCGATGGAGTCTAGCCCGTCAAGGGCGCGATCCCTTTTTCCCGGCTCCGTAACGGCTAATCAGCTCCGTCTCCTTCTCCGGACTGACTCTGCCAGCTGCGCTTGGCCTGAGGTTAACTAGGCCCAGCTCCTTAGGCCGGCCCAGCTTGAGTATTTCACAGGTGCTTGACCCGAAGCTGTTTAAATGGTTCATTTGGGCCGTCCTCTGGATATCGGCCCATCAATTTGTATTTCAATAACTGAATTTTTGACAAGATATAAAGGTCTATCTATATACAACACCCATATTTTTAAGTTCTTTAATGTGATTTTTATTGTGATTGCGCGTAAGTGACAAATTTTAAATTCTATCTCCATAAAGGGGCTCTGTTTCTCCCACAATCGTACAAGGCGAGGGAGTAAGTACGCATGTAGAATAAATCCACAATCTTAATAAGGTGAACATGTTTTATGTGAGATGCGATTTTTCTCATTGAGAAGCGTTACAAAAAAAATAAATTAGACCTCTTTGTTTTAGCAATTATTCAATTGAAACTCGTTTTATGGAAAGCAGTCAAATCCCTTTTTCGATCTTAATAATTTCTTTTAGAAAATGCAATTATTTTAGTAATAATTTAGAACTATTTGATTTAATCAAGTAAAAACACTAGCTTGATAGAAGATGTTCATATTTCCAATTGAATGGGAGACAACTCTAAAAATGCAACTAGATGCCAAGGATTGATGATTATGTTATTCGAATTTTCCTCATGACTATGCAATTAAAGCTCTTTTTAGTAATATCAAGGAAATTTCATATCTTAAACTGTTCAAATTTGTTGCTTGAGGGAAAGCAACGTTTACGTGTGAGGAATTTGATAAGTCCATTTTGTTCTTATTTTATTCCACATATTTTAATCGTTTTTGCACGAAAATAGTAATAAATCAGTACATAATTACATGTTAATTCGAACAATATTTGTTGATTTGTTCTAAAGGGAATAATAATTAGTTCTAAAATAAATAAGTTTAGATCTTAAATTTTTTATTCATATTTATGAGAAAAAGAATCTCTAAGATGAGAAATATTATCAAGAGAATCTCGAGAGAGGCGAAAACAGTGTTAGGGGACATTTGGAAATAGAAACATGCCCAAATTTGAACCAAGCCGCGAAAGCCCGAAAGCAACGGATCCGAAGCGTCCAGCCCTTAGGTTGGACACTTCAACTTGGACGCTTGGTGTGGATTTCTTTCCAACATAGACATATAGCGGACGGTGAATGGACGGGACAGCTATGGCGTCGAGATCTGAATGCTTTCACTTGGAAGGCATGGGTTGGAGGCTTCGCGTCCGATCCTATATAAACCGTAGCTTTTCTCTAAAAATGAGAATTTTCCCCTTCTCCAAACTTCAGCACTTTCTATTCCTTCTCCATATACTTCGAAATTCCTTTTAATATATTAGTTTAGAATTACTTTGTTGGAGTTTTTCTCGGAGCAAGTTGTAGTCGAGTCCTCCTGTTACTCAGATCTTGTCGAAGTAAGTTTTCTACTTTTATCTATTAATTAAATTATGTTCTCTTATAATGAAAGCATGTCTAGAGCTCTTGTTATGAGTGGTTAAATTATTTATGGATGTAATCCGTGGTAGGGTGATGGTAATTTTTAGGTAAAATTATTGTGTTGGAATCTTTATTAAAGTTTAATTACTAGTTGTTATTAGAGCACTGGTAAGGGGCTTCACGCCCGCCAGCGTGAAAGGGCGTTTAACGCCCAGGGGCGTGAAACACCACCCCCCTCCGGGTGTGATCGGGCGTGATCGGCCCTGCGTCAAAGGAATGACGCGGCGTCATTCCATTCCCCTCCCCCCCCCTAACGGCTTTATAGCCATTGCACCCCAATTCAAAAAAAAAATTCTTATAAATTCAAACCCCCCTCCCAATCTCTCACATCTTCTCCATCTTCAATCTCTTCTTCTTCCCAATTTTTAAATTTCGAAATTACCCCCTCTCTATTCAACATGAATACTTCCGGCTCCGGCTTCTTTCCCGACGATCTCCTGCCATGTGACGCCGCGATGTGGTTGTTCCAACAGTGGCGCGATCGACCGCTGATCTACGAGACGCAACAGTCGGGGTACATCGACTGGGAATCGGTTCCGAAGACTCAACCGGAACCATCCGGATCGAAAACAAGTACACGCCGGAAAAGCCATAAAGCCAAAAGCACGTTGACCGAGGCGGCACGGTCAATCCAAAAGTGGACGCCGGAGGAGGAGTGCATATTGGCGTCGGCTTGGGTTGACGTCTCAGAGCATCCTATCATTGGTAAAAACTTTCTTTTTTCTAATATATTTATGTTTTTAGTTTTATATATTATATTTAATGGTGTCTAAAAAAAATTGTGTAATACATTTTTAAAGGTACGGAGCAAACGAAGGATGCGATGTGGGATCGTATCGAGGAGAAGTTCTTCACGGCGATGAAGAAGGACGGCTCCTACCGAACCCGGGACCAACTCACTTCCAAATGGAGCCACATCAACAAAAAAGTCCGAAAGTTTATCGGAGTTTACGAGGAATGCTCCCGGTCCCGGAGGAGCGGCACGAACGACGCCGATGTTCTCTGGTTTGCCACGACCCGGTATCAAGACGACGGGAACCAAGGCAAGGTGCCCATCGATCTTTGGAGGATTTTGAGTCGTTCCCGAAGTGGCAACAACTCTACAATCCCGACGGCGGATCGTTCCGAAAAAGATCCACCGTAGACGCCGAGGTTGAGGTCGACGAGACCATTGATTCTACCGATCAAATCCCTCCCTTCAACGTTGCGGATTCCAATGACGAGGACCCCATTCCACGGCCAATCGGAAGAAAGAAGGCAAAATCCATTGCCTCTGGTTCGGGAGGGTCCGCCTCTGTTTCCGCTTCTCCCCGCGACGAAATCGGCCGGGCAATGGTTGAACAACTTCGGGCATTCAATCTCCAGGAACAAGAGAGGTTGAAGCTAAAGGAGAAGGAGTTGAAGCTAAAGGAGCAGGAGGCCGAGATGAAAGTCATGCAAACCAACCCCGGGACGTTGTCGGAGTTTGGACTAATGATTTACGAGCAAAGAATGAGAGAGATCAAGGAGAAATATAATTTACCTTAGTTTTTTTATTAATGTATCTTTTTAAAAAAATATTATCATTTTTTTTATTTAATTAATGTATATTTTATTATTCGTGTTTCAATTTGATTAAATAATAAATTAATTACATTTTATTAATTTAATTTTAGAAGATATATATTTAAAAATGTAAAAAATGAAGGTTTGAAGCCCCAGTTTGAAGCCCTGGGGCTTCAAACCCATTTCTAGTGAATTTTGGGTGTAAGTTAAAGCTGACGTGGCAGAGAGAGAAGGTTTGAAGCCCTGGTTTGAAGCCCCGGGGCTTCAAACCCATTACCAGTGCTCTTATCGTGATATTTTACTCGGATTAATAGATCGAAAGATTATTTATCAACCTTTGAAAATTACATTCTTTGAGAAATCTGGAATTTGATTAAGTCGAATCCTTGAATATTGGTAATTGATCTCTAGAAATAGGATTAATTTTTGAGTAAAAACTTAACAGATATTTACTCGCTAGTAAAAAGATTTGAAGTAAAAGTTAATCCAACTAATAGAAGTGACCTTTAGAAAGCCATCACTTGAACAAGAATTACATCCCTGTCTTTTTTATACGTAAAAGTTAAACAGTTCATCACCTAATCTTCGATTACTTGAAAACTTTTTTATTCAACAAGTAAATCTTGCCTAGCTAGTCCTATTACACTTTCCCTTGAGCCGATCCTTGAGAGGACACGGGAATAAATTGACCTCTTGAGGTTCAGTCTACTCTCAATACTACTACGAGGTTTTAAACTTATTAAAACCTTTTATCAAGTACGAATGAGGGCCTTCTTGAAGTCTCAAGTAGGTGGAGTCTGGAGAAGTGTCGAACCTAGATGGAAAGAACCAGTGAAATTTTATTAAGACTTGTCATCTTCAATAATCAAACCATTTGAAGAATATAGCAGAGCAGAGGTGATTTCCAAGGAACAAAATGATAAAGCATTAAATCCTATATTTGGTGCAGTCGATGCAACTCAATATAGACTCTTCGCAAATTGTATAAGTGAAAAAGAAGCTTGGGGCATCCTTGAAGTCACGCATGAAGGAGATGGAAAAGTCAAGACTTCTAAATACCAAATTCTCATCACCCAATATGAAAACCTCCGCATGGACAAAAAGGAAAGCATTGTTGACTTTCATGGAAGAGTGAGAAATCTTGCAAACCAGGCAGCCACATTGCAAGAACCATTTCCTTAATTGAAGATTGTGTTGAAGTTGCTCAGGTCATTACCTGGGAGATTTCATATGGATGTTAAAGGAATTGGACAGTCACATGACACCAAAACGATGAGTCTTGATTCTCTCATGGAAAATTTGGAGACAATCAAACTAAACAGGAAGAAGGACAATAAGCGAAGGAAACGAGAAAGACAGATTGCATTTGTCAGGGCTAATTTTGGAGGAAGACAAAGAGAATGATCTAGCATTTGATGAGGAATTCCAGGAACAACTATCCATGTTCACGAAGCAATTCAAAAAAATGGATCCAAAAGAAGGGGAAAAATTCAAATCAAGATCGACACTCCAGAGGACCCCTGTTCAATGAATCTCGATTCAAAGATAGTAAACACTACATGACAGACAACAGCCATAAACCTACGGGACCACTATGTTTTTAGTGTGGAGGACATGGACATATGAAAATTGAATGTGCAAATAGCCTGAAGAAGAAAAGACAGGCCTTTTCCATCGCATGAAGTGATGACAAAACTGAAGAAGATGAAGGAAACAAGGAGAGAAACTATGCCTTCAGCTTTCAGGTAGTAGATGACTATGAATATGAACTTGCTGAAAAATGCATGGATTTGCAAGAAAAGTGGACATACTTGTTAGTGGTAAACAGAAGAAAAGTAACAGAGAAGATAGGTTGATTCTAGGTCTAGAAACTCAAAAACAAAGCTTAGAGAAAATGGAGGCTGAAAACCCGATTTATGTTTTGAATTGCAGAACCTCAGAAATTGCCTGAAGTGGATGAATATATCAGGGGCATATGTGCTTGATGATCAGGATGAAATCTTTAAAGTTCATTGGGATAAATAGGGGCTTGGGTACACTGGCAAAACTGATGTAAGCAGACTATGCAGAAAGGAGGAAGATTGCATCAAAGACAATAGCGGAAGGAACTACTTACAAGTCACTCAGCACAAGAATAACTCAAGAACCCATCAGAATCCAAAAAGGAATCATAGAATATATACTAATGTCTTCAGATGCTATCAATGTTTCTATTGCGTAAAGTGGGGCCATATCAGGAGACATTGTCACAAGATCAAGCTCAAGAGAACTAAAGACAGAAAGATAAAGAAAGTATAGTTTCCAAAAACTAGGGTTATGGTTGAAAACTCATGCGTCAGAGTTACTCCTGATCAGTGGTTGTTAGATAATGGGTGCTCACATCACATGACAGGTGATAAACAAAATCTGGCAGATATCAACCTAATTGAAAAGGGGAATGTCATATTTGGTGGAGGAGCACATGGGAAGATTGTAGGTTATGGAATTCTGAACATCTCTGGGCTTCCACCAATCAAGAATGTGTGGGTGGTTCATCGTCTTCAAGGTCTGGAGGTCACTTTTACTTAGTAGAAATGTCGTGTAAAGGACAAAAATAAACAAATTGTGCTAGAAGGAGATAGAACAACTGACCATTGTTACAAAGTCACTCCAAATGTTCTGCATTTTCCTACAAGTCAACAAGATGCAAGGCTATGTCATTACAGACTAGGTCACATAAACTCTAAGGAGCTATTCGTGGATTACCAAAAATAAAGAAATTTGAGAATGAGGTGTGTGGGCCATGTCAAAAGGGAAAGCAAACTCAAAAGAGTCACCCAGTGAGAATGTATCAATCCACAACTCTTCCACTTGAATTAGTGCATATTGATCTCTTTAGGCCCATGAAAACAGAGAGTATTAGAGGAAAAAGGTTCTTACTCATGGGGGTTGATGACTACACTAGATACTCCTTGTTAAGCTTTTTAAGGCAAAGGATGACACACTAGAGGAATTTGTTACATTATGCAACAAGGTTAAAAATGAAAAACAACTAAAGATAAAGAAATTCATCCGTGTGCATCGTGATAATGGTGGTGAATTTCAAAGCTTACCCTTCAGCAAATTCTATGACCAACAGGGAATTTAACACAAATTTCCAGCCCCAAAAACTCCACAACAGAATGGTATAGTTGAAAGAAAAAATAGACATGTCCAAGATATGGCACGAACTTTGATAAACACTCAAAACCTGACTCTGAATCTATAGGCCGAAGCTGTACACACAGCTTGCTACACTATAAACAGAGTGTATTTTTGAAGTGGCACCAAGGCTACATCTTATGAGTTATGGAGAGAGAGGCAGAACCCCAAATCTTTAACACTTTCATATTTTTGAGGTAAGACATTACGTTCTTCGAGACAGGGAACAAAAAGGAAAATTTGATGCCAAAAGTGATGAAGCTATATTTGTGTGATACTCACCAAACAACAAAGAATCAATTAATGTTGTAGTTGATGATCACGTTCAGAAAAAAAGCTACGATGATCCAGAGGTTGTTAAAACTTCATCAGAGGCTCTCACAGAACAAGAGGGGACAGAGTCTGAGATAAATCACAGTGATGAGGAGGACATCACAACGACTCAAGAAAAATCTTTAAGAGTACCCACACATATTCAGAAGAATCATCCACCAAAAAATGTTATACGGAATCCTAGGGAAGGCATCCAGACTCGGAAAAAGAAGATAGACTTTGTTGAAATGATAAATGGCTTCTACACATCATTTGTGGAACCAAAAAATGTAAATGAAGCACTCAATGAAGAACCATGGGTAGATGTTATGCAGGAGGAGCTAGAACATTTTGAGCGGTAGTGTTTAGGAACTTATTCCAAAACCAGTATGCGCTAATGTGATTGGTAAAAAATGGATTTTTCGAAACAAAACAGATTGCAATTTTTGGTTGATGCCTTCACAATGGTAGAAGCACAAAGAATTAAATGGCCTATTGCAAATCAAGATCAACTTAGATGAGGCATCATTAGTGGCCTAAAGGAAGCTGTTACGAGAGGTGATACAGATCAAGAAACTTCTGGACAGCGGATTGTCTTGTATACTTCTTTTACTAGTGGAATGAGAAATATGTTTAAAAGCTGTCAAGATGAAATGGCGATTTGTAGGATGTATGGATATCCAGATATGTTCATTACTATTACATGTAATCCTCAATGGCCAGAGATTACAAGATTTATTACTAGAAGAATATGTAAGGCAGGAGACATACCAGATTTTGAAGCCAGAGTTTTCAAGATGGAATTAGATCATTTAGAGAAGGACTAAAAAAGGGAAAATTCTTTGGGTATGTAATTGGAGGTACTTCCCATTTTTATTTTTTTCTTTGTAAGCATGTAAGAAAAATAAATCTAGTGCATTGATTTCAATTTGTGACGGCATGAAATGTTTTTTAAAACTAATGTTTGATAATTTTGATCATGTGCAGGTCTCTACACTGTTGAGTTTCAAAAAATAGGTTTGCCTCATGCACATATCTTAAAATGGTTGAACCCAATGGATAAACTTCAAACAACACAACCTATTCAGTGTGAGATATGTGCTGAGTTGCCTGATAAAAATAAGTACCCTCGATTATATGAGTCTTTAACTTGATTAATGATGCATGGTCCCTATGGCACAGATGATCCTAAATCACCTTGTATGGATGAAGGCAAATGAAAGACATGTTTTCCAACGAAATTTGCTAAGAAAACAACATTTTATGATAACGGTTACCTGGTATACAAAAGAAGAGATACAGGGATCACCACCAAGAAAAAGAACATTGAGTTGGATAACCCTTTTGTAGTGTCATATAACCAAGACCTTTTGATGAGGTATCAAGCCCACAACAATATTGAATATTGCAAAAAAATCTAATTCTATCAAATATCTCTTTAAATATGTCAACAAAGGACCAGATAGAGTAACTATTGTAGGAGGCCAATCAAAAGGTGACTCTGATACCTCTCTGCGTGCGAAGCTGCTTTGAGAATCTTTGCTTTTGAGATTATTGAGATTTCATCTTCTAGGACAGAAATTTGTCAACTTTAAAGACAAGGATGAAGTTAATAGACAAGTTGAGGAAGTCATTTTATGTTTAATAAAATTATATTGTAATTTTCGAAATTGTTTGTTTCCAATTTTTGAGTTAATTTTATTTGCTTAGATTTAATTCCAATAAATCTTAAATAAATATTGGAAACTCAAAAATGAAATTTATAAAACTTGGAAATATTATTTCTAGGTGAAATAAAGTTTTTCATAAATATATTGGAAAAAATAATATTAGTTAGTATTTAATTATATATATATTTCGGTATATATATATTACCGAGTAATATATATATATATATATATATATATATATATATATATATATATATATACACACACACACACACATATATATATATAAATTGAAAAATGGATAATATCATTTTGGAAATTTATATCTCAGTAAAAAGTAAGTTGATTTTTCTAAATATTAAATTTTATAATTTAATGTTTTTGAAAAATTATTTAAATTTGTTTTCGCAATTATTGAGATATAATTAATATATTTTGGAAATAAATATCTATAAATTCTGGGAATTTTTTTTTCAGAATTATAAATGTCTAAACTAGTTACTGGAAGTTGAAAATAAATTTTCATTATTTTTTAAAATTAATTTCTCATTTAAATGGATTTTTCAAAATAAAATTGGCAAAAGGGCATTTTTGTAATTCTGTATTTACTGGAGTTTTTTCTTCCATTTTTGACCCTTGTCGAAAGTCACATAATATGTTTAGAATGACTTCGTAAAATTTCATAATTTTTGGACCACTTTATGAATTTTTATGAATATTAGAAAATATTACCAACAAGGTATTTTTCTAGAATTGTCTGGGGCAAGCGCGGTTCGCCCGGTGTATGTATATCTCTATTGCCTATGTGGATGTATGATATGCATGGTGGATGATACTCATAGCACTAGTGGACTAGATGGATACACGGGGGAATTCTTCAGGAAAACCTGGGACATTGTGGGGTAAGACATCCTAAAGACTGCTCAAAAATTTTTCCTAGGCATCCCTACCCCTAAAGCTTTTGGAGCCACACTCATTACACTGATTCCCAAATCCAATTATCCCAAGTCCTTCAATGATTACCGCCCAATTTCGCTGTCCACCTTTGTGAGCAAAATTCACAGTAAACTTGTTGCCAAAAGGCTTAAGGGATTGCTGTACAAACTTATCTCCCATGAACAAGGTGCATTCCAGCAAGGAAAAGATATTTCTGACCAAATCATCCTTACCGATGAAATGCTGCATGCTTTAGACAGGAAAGTTAATGGTGGCAACCTCATTATTAAGGTGGATATGGCCAAAGCATTTGACAATCTAAATTGGGAATATCTTGAAGGCATTCTCCTCAGCTTTGGGTTCGCCCCACATGTGGTTAATCTCCTTATGGCAAACCTGAAAGCCACCTCCTTTTCCGTTCTCATTAATGGGCAGCCATCTGGTTTCTTCCCTATGGAGAGGGGAATCAAGCAAGGAGATCCACTCTCTCCCATTCTCTACATCCTAGCTATGGAAGGATTCACACGAACTTTTAACCACTACATCAATATCTCTTTTCTTTGCCCTTTTAATGCAGGTAAGGTGCCACTTATAAGTCATCTAGCATATGCAGATGATCTCATTCTCTTTTGCAATGGCCATTTCAGAAATGTCCTTAGACTGCAAGGTATTCTCCAAACCTACCTTTTGGCATCCGGGTAGGAGATAAATCTCAACAAAAGTAAATTCTACTGTGGTAAGCATGCTCGTTTACCTGCTATCTTGGCAATTGAGAGAGCCATTGGGATGAAGCAAGGAAGCATACCCTTTACTTATCTTGGTGCCACCATATGCAAAGGGAAGCTCAAGAAAGATCATTGCAATACACTTATTGCCCATTTTGATAGCTTCCTCAACTCTTGGTATAGCAAGGTTCTCAATCCCATGGGGAGACTCATACTTATTAAACATGTTCTTTCTTCTATTCCACTCCACACTCTCGATGTCCACACTCTCCCAGAATCCATCATTTCCAAACTGCATCAGCGAATGTCACGCTACTTATGGGGGTGATAAATGGAAAGGACAAACACCACTGGGTGAAATGGGATGATATTTGTCTTCCAACAGACCGGGGGGGACTGGGAATACGCGACCTTAACCATATCCAAGCAGCATTATCTTACAAGCTATGGTGGAAGATCAAGACAGAGCAAGGTTTCTGGGCAGCCTTTATGTTGGAACACACTTTGTACGTTAAACTAAAGTCGTGTTCATTTCTGACAGGTTTTGATAATTGCCAAACCGCCGTGGATATGAAGAGTTTCGTTGAATAACTCAAGGCGTGAAGAATGGCTTGGAATAAGACCTAAAAGACTCAAGGACAAGATCAAGAATTGAAGACTTAGTCGAGTCGGTCTTTTGTGATCAAAACCGACAATTTATTCAAGTCTCGGTTCTCAAAAAGTCAAAACAATTTTTACAAACCATAAAAAATTTTTTTGTGCATCAAAACAAACATTTTTGATGACCTCTTTTAGTGTTAAAAATCCCTGGTCCTTGCTCAGAACCAAAACCACCTAAGTCGGCGTTCGGAATTCGGCGTTCAGCTTTCGACGTTCGGTTTTCGGCATTCGATTTTTGGCGCCCGAACCAACTCCGTGGTTTTCAATATTTTAAACCCTGTTTTTATCTCTGAGCATATTTTAAAGGTTCCCGAATAATTATTTTATAAAAGCCACTCTTGTATCTTGGTCAATCGGTCTAACAAGTGAAAAACAGTCAAAACCGTACGCACGTGATTTACGACCTTGAGGAATTGGTTTTTACCAAACAAGTCTTGTTTTCACTATTTTATACCATATACAATGTTTTTCATACTTGGTTTTTACTTTTGGGAACACTTCGTTTTTGGACCTCAGTTTTTCAAAACGGGTTTCAGCTGGCTAGACTTTAGCTGGGTGATAATCGATTATCACCTTAGTGACAATCGACTATCAGCCACTGCAGCTTTGAACTTCCAAGTTCTGAAGCGCGCAATAATCGATTATCAGCTTTGCAATAATCGATTATCAGCCTTTGCAGCCAAAACCCAGAATCTTTAGAGAGGACCAATAATCGATTATCACTTGTTGACAATCGATTATCTGGGTTACCGTTGTCCTCCAACGGATAGAATTTTAAATTTTTGGTCAGGGAATCTTTGGATAATCGATTATCATGGTTTGACAATCGACTATCAGCCTGTGTCCCTGAAAAATTTGTCTTCATCCTGTTGGAAATTCTAGCAACGGGTTTATCCCATTTTGGGCTATAAAATGGCACCCAAATCCTCTCTTTTAACACACAATTCTTCAACATTCCAATACTCTTTCATTGCATAAGCATTCCCATTTTTCTTAGCTATTTGAGAGCCAATTCTTGAAGAAATTGTCGTGTTCTTGAGCGTTTACTAGTTCACTCATATCTACTCTTTGTGAGAGTTTTATTCCTGAGTGTTTAAGTGTTTTCATACACTTTAAGGGACTATGTTCCCTTGTTATAAACTCGAAGGAAGTTCCTTGTTCCTTCGTGAGAAGTCTTGGAGTGTGGTATCTCCGAGCAAAGGTGTTGAGGCTCGTGTGACTCGGGTTCTCAAGTTGTATCGGTTTGTTAAGCACCCTTAAGCTTAACAGAGTTAGTGTAGCTCGAGAGAGTCTCTCGGGGGGCTAGATTAGCCACACGTTGTGGTGAACCAGGATAAAATCCGGTGTGCTCCTTCCTTACGCTCTTTACTTTAACGCTCTCGTTTTAATTTCCTGCGATATTGTTTCAAACGCTATTCACCCCCCCTCTAGCGTTGGGTCTTTATTCTAACACTTTATGCATCAAAAATACCTAAGAACCAATATTTATAAGGAAAGACTGACAGATTCTGCGGTTTGGAAGAGAATTTACATGATCCATGAAGTTGCTTGTGACCTCACCTCGTCTGTAAATGGAACCTTGAGATGGAACAATGGAGACTTCTCTCTTAAGGCAGCCTACTTAAGTGGAGTTCAACCCCAACCTCCAAACCTTACCTCAAGGTTCTTTTGGCATAAATACCAGATCCCCAAGATCAAGCTATTCCTCTGGAAACTCTTTCACCGTGCTCTACCATTCACTGAGAATTTTCGAGCTATCTCCCTCCCCATAAGAGGAATCTGCCATAATTGCATGGAAGCTGAAGATGGACAAAATCACACTCTACTCCATTGTCACCTTGCACAACAGCTTTGGAACCATTTTGCCCTACTTCTGGATGGACCTATGCCTAGACATGGGAGAACCATTAGCCAACATCTCATTTCCTAGTGGTCGAGTGCAAAGGAGAAGACCTTCTCTGGACATCAACGCGCGGTCATACCTGGCTTCATTGCATGGAGTCTCTGGAAAACCCATAATGAGGCACTATACGATGGCAACCCAACCAACCTCCATGGTCTTATTAAATCAGTAAATAACATCACACAAAAATGGTGTTGGATCAATAGAAAGAAAGATTGGCTATCCAAGGCAAAAGACTGCAGGATTGGTAATGAAGTTTTCTTTTGGCTAAATGGAACAAGGCTACTATCGGGACTTAGCTGATATCATCTTCTTTTTCCCTCATTGTACACCCCCCTTGCTTCGCAAATTTACTTTTGGGGCCAGGTCTAGCCCTCCCCAAATGTGATGTAATCTCTTCTCACTTGTTTCAATAAAATATTTTATATATATTTTATATGATGCATCGTGCGGCTTAGATTGCATTCTGCACTCAAATTTTGAGATAGTGCATTTTCAAAGGATTATGGTGCATTTCGACATGATGCATTTTCAAACCATCTTGGTGCACCTAATTTTGATGCAATCCTAACCCTTAGATCTCTCAATCTAATGCACCAGATTCATTCTTATTTCTTTCATTAGATTGCATTCTCACCTGAACCTATATATATATATATATATATATATATATATATATATATATATATATATATATATATATATATATATATATATATATATATATATATATATACATACATACATACATACATACATACATACATACATACATACATACATACATATATACATACTAGCATCCATACGCGCGTTGCACGGATTTTAGTGCCCGACCATGATTTTACGTGAGTTTTTTTTAAATTTTTTTATATGAAATAATGTTGTTGAATTAGTGCATATTTTAATTCGTTTAACAAGTCGTATAAAAATGAAGCTGGCAATGATGAGAATGAACTTGATTATATTAAGCTGCCAAAGATTGAATAAGAATGAGTTTGATATATAATAATGGGTGGTACTTTCAAATTCATACAAAATGTCTATAATAGTGTTCCAATTGAATAACAAAAAGGATATATTAGCAAACAACTCAAATAAAGTGGGTAATGATAGTACTTTTTTTGTGTAAATAGGAAATTCAAATATTATATGATGATATCTACTTAGAGTAGACATATCAACACACTTCGAATATCTTAAGAATTGAGGATCTACTTATTATTCGTAAAAAAAGGGAATAAATTTGTGATAGATATGATGAGAATAAAAAGAATAATGATTAAATATGCACAAAATGAAAGTTACAAAATGGTATTGCGTATTAAATAATCACACTACAACTAAATTGGTGGCAATGGCTTGACCTCTAAACAATAAATGGATAAGTTCCTTTTTGGTTCTCCGTTTTCTCCAAGAACACAAATATTAATGGCAAGTGACTATGTGGAGAAATCAATTTGAAAAGGGGAAAATATCTAGAAAAGGAAAAACAATCCTGAAATCTCAAATGTTGCTCAAACGTTAGTATAGCACATATATGTTAATTTTTTTGGTGAAAAAAATTAATATTTATGTACTAATTTATTAATATAGCACATAGTCTTGTACCAAAAAAAGTATTATAACAATAAAAACATGCAGTGAATATATCATATTTGTTGCACTTATTTATAAATAAAATTGCTCACCTAGCGGGGACTCTCTTAATGAATTCAAGAGCTGGTGGTTCAATTTTTCCATTATGTATTTCCCTAAAGAATTAATACTCTGTAGACACGAACAACCTCGAAGGTTGAAAACACTTCTAGAAGAAACGACACTGGAAAATTAGAACCAACTGAAAACGAAACAAAGTGAAATGAAGAATAACAGGTTAATATTATATTATTCCCTTTTCTCATGGAGGGTATGCTACTTTGGTTAGCAGGTTTAAAGCTCGATCTTCAAAGTAATCCCTTGATGAGTCTTTAGTTGTACGGTAAAAATAAGGAAACAATACATCAATGAAGAAAGTAATGAACATATAATTAGTTTAACCAAAATTCCAACAAGAAGAAAATACCTCCTACGTGTTAAAAGGAGTTTTCAAAACACACAAAATTGAACATTTGCTTTGTTTGTATTATCATTGAATAAAGCTTTGGTGGTATGTAGATAAGCAAGAAAGAACTTATGTGTGTATTTATAGGAAGATGAGAATTGTTTGAAAGGTAGTAGTCATTATCGTTAATCAGGAAAGATTTAAGTTGGGAAAAGACTGACATCAAATTAAGTAGATGTAAATTGAGACTTATTGGTGCAATAACGTAATTATTGCTAGCCACTATCTCTAATTAATATATTCCTATTATAATTAATTTAATTTGACATTTATTAATACCAAATCAATGGCTGCATACCTTATCAGCATTTTACAAAGCATGTATCCACTATGCATTCTACCAAAGAAAATCTTCTATATAATCCTACCAAAAAAAACTCACTGAAAACTATATAGAGTATAGCTTTAAAATATTTAAATATAGAGTGATATCATAATAAACAATTGCACTTCTCAAAATATGTCCATTAAGATTCCAATTATTACAGGAGAGGTACTTTTAGCAGATGTGTGGTTCCATTCTTCAGCCATACTTTCATATTTCTTCTAATCACAGTCAGTCCTTCCATTTGTCATCTAAGGAACTCAATATAAAATATACATCAACATAAAAACATCTCAAAAAATAGTTAAAATAAGAGGAGGTAAAACAATTGAAGTAATAAAGATATTTACTCTTAAGAGATCAAAAAAGAAGAGAGGTGAAATAGAAAACTTGTCTCCATTCCATTTATCGGATGTGTGGTTCCATTCTCCAGCCATACTTTCATATTTCTTCTAATCACAGGGAAGTCCTTTCATTTGTCATCTAAAGAATTCAATATAAAACATGCATCAGCATAAAAACATGTCAAAAAATAATAAAAAAAGAGGTAAAATAATTCAAGTTATAAAAATAATTACTCTTAAGAGATCAAAAAAGAAGAGAGGTAAAATAGAAAAAAATCACAAAAGTACTGGACCACCAACCAAAAAATAATATAAAAATGTGAGCAGAAATGACATAAATCTAGTCTTCATTGTTCTGAATACTTGCACACTATTTAATATTTTTTAGATTAAAAACTATACTAATTATTTGAATGCAATTCAAAAGCTTTAGGCAAATTTGGCTAGACAAATAAGTTTCACCTCTGTCATTTTTGTCTCCATTCCATTTAGCACATGTGTGGTTTCATTTTCCAGCCATACTTTCATATTTCTTCTAGTCACAGGGAACCCGTTAGTCTTTCCATTTGTTGTCTAAAGAACTCAATATAAAATATGTATCAGCATAAAAAAAAGTAAAAAAAATAATAATAAAAATAAGAGAGGTAAAATAACTGAAGTAATAAAAATAATTACTCTTAAGAGATCAAAAAAGAAGAGAGGTAAAACAGAAAAGAACACAAAAGACTACTGGACCACCAACAAAAAAATAATATAACAACGTGAGCAAAAATGGCATAAATCTATAGTTTTCATTGTTCTGAACACTTGCACACTATTTAAGATTTTCTACATTAGAAAATATACTAATTATTTGAATGCAATTCAAAAGCTTTAAGGAAATTTGGCTAGACAAATAAGTTTCACCTCTGTCATTTTGGTCTGCATTCCATTTATCAGATTTGTGGTTCCATTCTCCAGCCATACTTTCATATTTCTTCTCGTCACAGGGAACCAAGCAGTCCTTTCATTTGTCATATAAAGAACTCAATATAAAATACGCATCAGCATAAAAACATGTCAAACCAGAACACTTGAAAAAACTTCATGCATAGTTTATCGAGCCTATATTCCAGTCTTTCATTGCCACTGGAAATAAAATGAACATTACAAAACATAGTATATAGTCGTTTACACATAGATAACCAACTAAACATATAATACAACCTACACATATATTAATATTTCATTAACAAATTCCTAATTGAAGACAGTAACCAAATAAAGGGACACATTAATCTCAACATTTCCATTTAGATTTATCTCTAGCCAAATAAAAATTCAGATTATTATTTGATTACCTTTTGATGCAGAGCTTACTTCACGCCCTCTAAACGTTTTTATTTTGCAAATCCATTTATCACAAAAAAAGAGTCTAAAGGCTTAACCATGTTGAGATATATGATCTAGAATAAACTCTCATGCACACAGAATATACGTTACATATCTACACTCAAATTTTAAACCAATGCTGAACCAAAGCACACAAACTTACGAAATTTATCTCCTAAGCAATGATAGCTCTCAAATAGTGTTTCTAAATTTAAAAGTTCAAACTTGACAAAATGGAAGTACTCTCGACATAATCTGGACAATTCCACCATCCAAATATATCAATCACAATTTACTATGCATTCAACACTCATAGTGTTTCCAAATTGAAAAGCTGAAAACTTAACAATTGGAAGCCGTTTTGGCCATAGTTATTAAAGGCGCTCGCCTCTCTCGCCTATGGCGCCTTAGGCGACCAGTCGAGCTCTCAGCGCCTCAAGGAAGCCAGGCGAGGCGAGATCCCTAAGGCGCGCCTAAGGCGGTCGCCTTTCTCGCCTCAATCACTGCCTCAGGCGTTCGCCTAGCTCGCCTTTCTCGCCTCAATCACTGCCTTAAGGCTTTAGGGGATACAATGCATAATCACACACACACACACACACACACACACACACACAGATATGTATATGTATATGTATATATGTGTGTGTGTGTGTGTGTGTGTGTGTATATGTATGTATGTATGCATGCATGCATGTTCGCCATTTGACCGCCCGCCTCTCGCCACGCCTCTCGCCATAAAAAAGGTCCTCTCGCCCGCCCCTCGCCACTCGCCATTAATAACTATGGTTTTGGCATCAGCAAAACATCAATCACAATGCATCCACACCTCATAGAATATAACATACATATTTCATAGTTAACTAAAAGGTTAAAGATTAAATGTTTGAAACATGCTTTTGCCTTTTGTAATAATATTTGTCCAAAGAAACAGGCCACAAAACATCAATTCTCCTAAAATTTTATAGCTAATCATTCCTAATAATACAAATACATGTACAAAGTGACCTGAAAATTTAAGATGGCTTCATTAATGCTGTAAACATTATGGAAGAGAGCAACCCAAAGGCCAATTTCACCCACTCCAAGAGTTTTCGATCAATTTCCCTATATGCCAACCCTATTACTGGTTAAGGGTCAATGTGTGAGTAAATAAATGAGACTGGATTTTGGACGGTGTAAGGGTAATATAGTCAGAACATCAAACCATGCAATCCTCCCACCGCAGATTAAAATGTTTAGTAACAAAAAAATTCACATTGGCAGGGGGATTAAACCCTCCATCTCATTTATATATTATATAGGATTCAAATGGTGTATAGTTACTTAAAAAACGAGTGCATATAGATAGGATTCTACTTCCACATGAAGCCCAATAGACGTAGATGCTTCTGACAGAGACCAAATTTGATTCAGGCTAATACCTATAAGCAAAAGTGTAAGACCTTCCAACTCTGGTAAAGAACTGAATTATGGACAGAGGGAGCTGAACATGTGAATGATTTATTTAGTAGGACAAGTACATAATAAATGATCTAATATCACACAACATACAAAGACCAAGGCAAAACTTTCACGATTCGCGTGAAGTATGGAAAAGCATCTTTTCATGATTACCCTTAATAAAAGTGTTATGACCAAAACCTATAAATAAACGATATAAAATGGAGTTCTAAGAAGAGGAGATAGAAAAAAATGCAGGGCTTATACATTTTATAATAAAAAAAGGAGAGCCAAATCATTTTCGCATTTCCATGACATCAAGGTAGAACTGAACATAAGACTCAATTATAGTATTAAGAAGAATATACATAAGTTTCTCAAAACTTAATAAAAATTTGAATACTACTTCCTGTATCGGTAGTGAAATTCTTCAATGATAGATTGTTCCAGTCACAGATGGGATTTTTAAAGCAGCGAAAAGATGAAAAGGAAAGAGGAAGCTAGGACAGTCATAAACATGGTTATTAACACCTATGAGAGCAAAGAAGCAAAGCAAAAATAATGTTACAACTAACACAACATAGAGTAAAAATAAAACTGACAGAAATGGAGCACCTTTACCGAGGAAAAAGATTTGAGAATACTTCTGCAAATCTGAATAGAGCATAATATCAAGATTGAAGACACACTAAAATGTCGTCAAAGACAGCTGAAGCTGTAAGAGAAGCAGACAGTCAACTATTGTAGCTGCCAACAAACACTGCAAACAGTGCAAAACCCCCCAAAACTGAACCACCAAACCTATGATTAAAAAATCCTAAGAAAAAAATCATTAATTAACAACTACCAATAAGAACTAAACCAATACTTGGACAAAGGATATTTAGTATATCTACTAATCATTAATGAATACAATGAACTTGAATTGGATACATAATAAATGACATGATAGTGAAAAGGATAGATAAACAAAAGTGGCGTTAAATAATGAAGGCATAAGTAGCCTAAATTTAAGCTTACTCTCAAAATTAAAACCAGCAGCTCAAAAATGGGTTAGGGTGAATATCTAGTTAGCCTAATAGCAATTGCCAGTATGCGATCTGTAATAAAATTAATATCCTAAGCTTACGCCAAAGACCTTGTGGTCAAGCGGCATCATGGTGGCTCCCCAATGTGGGAGGTCACAGGTTCGAACCCAGTGGGGCAATAACTCTACGTGCTTAATAGGTTGAGAATGTATGATTTTCTGTATTCTTTGACTTGGTTAATTTTTCATTTTTCTTTCCACTAAACTTATGATTACTTGAATACCCATTTCAAACAGGAACGCCATCAAATTTATTGATCTCTACTTTTCTAAAAAATAATATTATCTACTTCAAGAGTTGAATGGTTGAATGAAAAAGAATCTGAAATACAAAAATAGGTTGTAAGAAATAATGAAGTCTAACCATTGTTCTCTTATCTACTATTACATCAAAACATTGATCCTCGAATGGCAGATGTTGCATGTTTGCTTCCAGCACCTTAATCACTGCCAGAGATTGAAAGAATACCTTCAAAGTCAGGTAAATCTGACTAATGTGAGAACCCTAATAAGCAAAGTGAAAAGAATGTTACAACTAACACAACATAGAGTAAAATTAAAAGTGACAGAAATGGAGCACCTTTACTGGTGAAAAGGATTTGAGAATACTTATGCAAATTTGAATAGAGAATCTAATCATTGTTCCTTTATCTACTATTACATCAAAACATTGATCCTCGAATGGCAGATATAGCATGTTTGCTTCCAGCACCTAAATCACTGCCACAGATTGAATAAATACCATCAAAGCCAGGTAAATCCGACCAATGTGAGAACCCTAAATTATATGGAGTAGCAATTCAAGGATTAAAATACAACATTGGCTATTAATATATAGCTCAGACTCATCTAACATTAAAAATATTATAAATCCCAAGATCGATATTAGATAAGAATAGTAGAAATGGTAATTTAACTTAAAAACTTGGGGAAACAATGATATTAAGAGTGAATCATATTAAATCTAAGAATCCTCAATTGAAATCTGTAAAAGAATCGTCAATAAAAGAAACTGTAAACTCAAAATTTCTTATGATTTCCCTATGAAATGCGAATTAACAAAACCAAAAAACTAAGATTAAAAGTGAAACGCGTGAAATCCAAGCTAGCAACTCCCAATCCAAACTACATACAATTTTTTTGCAAAGAGAGAGATAAAATACAAAAATTCGTTCGCATAATCCATCCTTTTTCCAATTCATCTGCATAAATTGTACAATGCTAATAGCTAGTAAATTGAATACTCCGTATTTATTACCAGGGCACTGCTTATGCGACACCTGCAGGAAATTGGGGACGAAACCCTGCGGCAATTAGCCAAATTTCACGATTTCAGAAGTAGGGATTCGAGAATACCTCTGTAAATCTCAATAGAGTGTTATTTCACGATTAAAGACACAGTAAATTGGGAATTTAATTCCCCCTCTATTGCGTTGTCCAAAGGTTTCCCGTGGCGAGAGGCGAGTCAGGGCATGTTTTAAATTTGACGGAAGTTTAACCAGTGAGGATATTTTTGGCTGAATAAGTAATGGTACAACTTTCTAAGCATGGTGTACAAAATATATGGATGGAAAAAGTGCATCTTTTTAAAGGGTACCTAACCCTCATTCCTATTTATATAATAAGAAAGATATATATAGGGCGCGTCTAAAATTTCATCAATGACATATACACCAGTTGTAAAACGGCGGTTCGAACCCCCACTAACCCTCCCCCTAAACCCCCCAGACCAGCCCCACCCCCACCCTTGCCCCCCCCACCCCACCCCCCCTCCCTACATGTTAGGGGCGGGAGGGGGGGCTGGGGGTTTAGGGGGAGGTTAGAGAGGGTAGAAAACGTCATTTTTACAAACGGAGTACCGTAAGTACCCCAAACGAACTGGTGTAAGCAAATGACACCAGTAGCACTGGTGTCATTTTAGACTTACTGATATATATATATATATATATATATATATATATATATATATATATATATATATATATATATCCCTGTTATAAATGTGAAACCTAGTTAGGTACCCCTTATATTCGTGTACCTTTTCCATCCATAAATTTTGTACTTTGGGATTTGGGTGTTGTACGCCGTTACATATATCCAATTTTGCCCTTACACGGTGCATTGCCGTCTACTCCCAATCTTCTACAATAATTGATGCTGGTTTATTGCTTTTAATTACGCCTGCACTCATTACTTTAAATAGTATTACGCCACTATGTTCATTACATATATCCAATTCTTTTTCAGAAAACATAACGCCACCACTGTGTTCATTACATATATCCAATTCTTTTTCATCCATCTCTTACGATGGATAAAGCTATTTCTACCCCAACTTTTGTACCCACTTTGTACCATGCAGGTTTGCACCGACACTTCGTGTTGGTGTAAAATTAAGTTTTATTAATGCACTAACACTTTGTGTCCGTGTAAATTTTTGTTAATGCACAAACACTTGTGTCGGTGTAAACCATCAAAATGTTTGTGTATAACTGCGGTGTACAAATGGGGTACAATTTGTGGTGTAAGTGTAGCATGGCCCTCTTACAATTTTAGAGAATTCCCCTCTTTCTCACATACTCCCTCAGTCCCAAATTATTTGTCACATTTCTATTAGCGAGGCAAAATATCAAATTTTTCCAAATTATTTTATTTACATATTGGTAAAGAAATAAAAAATAAAAATTACATATTGGTCTTCCGGAATGATGGGAGAGGGGGGAGTGGTTAGACGGAAGTATGGGTTGGTAAGTGGGGGTAAGCTGGAGGAGGGTATTTTGGGAAAGTCAATGCAAATTTTATGTTTTATTAAACTCCATGCCAAGTCAAAGTGGGAACTTTAATCTTGGACGGAGGAAGTATATAAATATTAATAAAAATGTCAAATAAAATCATGATCTGCCACAAAAAATCCCACGCAATGCATATATAGATACAAATACTAATGAAAAAACGACAACTTTCATCTCAATACTTTAAAGAGAAGATCCGATCCACCTTTACAATGGACATTATAACGGTTATTGTTGTTATATTTCAATTCTTTTACTATGCATAACTCACGGATACCAACAACATCCAGGTGGCCACTTATATTCACCTGTTATGTTGGGACCATTTTATTGGTTTTGTGGTCCTTGGTCTTAAGATAATCATCTTTAAAGAGATACACTATATTCGAGATGACTACCTAGGACATCTGAAGCTATTGTCATTACTTTTCGTTTTATGAGTCTTTTCCAAATCTTTGTACAATTTTTCTTTATATGGACGGAAGTAATAGAATCCGAAATTAATTGAATAAATATACTATTATTCAAACCATTTGACTACTTAAATAAGTAAATAAAAATGATATATTCATATATTACATTATATTTAAAAATGATACTACACAGAAAAAAATACACCAACACATAAAAACACATTTTATTAGCAATAATAATAATAATCGTGCACTACATATCGCACAACACATGTACTATTGACTACACTATGCTTACAATTACATAAAACATTCTTCATTGTGAACAAGTTTGTTCACCATGTTTTCATAAAAGAAGAATGTTTTAAATTACAATTACTGTTATTCACTTATTTTCCTTCCACCCGATGACTTTGACACATTTCTAACCATTACTTTTAACACATTATTTTTTTTGAACACAGTACAAAATTTTATTCACACCACGAGTCAAAGTTCACATTACAATATCAACTACTACCAATCTGGCCGAAGTCAGAATTCCTTCTCACTTTAGCTTTTCCTATACAAATAGGTAATAAGATTAAACCAAATGTAATCTATACTATCTTCGACTTTGATGCTCTCTTTCCCATATATCTTCTTGTTTCTAGCCCTCCATATTGCATAGCATATAGCTGCCCACGCTGCTCTCCATGTGATCCGTTGTTTTCTGCTCCCCTTTCTGAGTTGTTGCGCACAGAAACTCTGTGGTGAGTCCCCTCCTAGTCCACATCCCAAGCTAGGCATGATTCTTTCAAAGAGACTCCTTGCATATTCACATTTCCAGAACAAATGTTCACTATCCTCCACGCCTTTGTCACATAAGACACACCCATTGTCAATTGGCAAAAATCTGCACAGCCTTTGCTTTGTTTGGATCATTCCCTTCATAATCTTCCACACTATCATACCATGTTTTGGCATTATTCCTCTGTTCCAAACAATGTCATACCATTCATCTTTTGGGAGTTGACCCATAAGCCATGAGTACCCCTCTTCAATTCTATACTCCCCGCTGACTGGCATGCTTTCAAACTCTTGTCTTACCTTGATCATTTTCTTCCAATAATAACAGGCATCTTGTTTAGGATGATAGTTCCAGAAATCCCCATCCTTAATATATCTAGAATGTATCCATTTTACCCACAGCTTGTCTTTCTTCTTTGCTAAGTCCCAATTCAGTTTCATAATCATTGCATTATTCCACTTTGTCAGATTTTTGAAGCCAATACCTCCTTTGTCTTTAGGCCTGCAGGTTTCCTCCCAGCTAATTAATGGGACCTACTTGTATCTTTCCTCGGCCCCCCATAGGTAGTTTCTGCACAGAGCTTGTACCTGCTTCATAACCTTCCCAGGTATAATGAATATTCTTGCCCAGAAGTTAATGATCCCCATTAGGACAGAGGATATTAACCTTGCTCTCCCAGCATAAGATAAGTTCTTAGATTTCCAGCATGTGATTCTAGCAGTTAACTTCTCCACCAGGACCTCACAGTTAGTGGATGAAAGTCTGTTAGACGAAATTGGGCATCCCAA